GAAAATTTATTCCAATAACATGATATTCAATTAATCAAGCCATGAAATGAAGGTTTGGGTGTGGAAAAAATTTTGAGCGCTTGAGTCATACGTACCAGCAGATTGTATTACCAACTCAGTATCACAAAATAATTATTTTCATAATATTATTTTAACTTTATTACAAAAATATCATAACACACCTAATAGAGTCAAATAAAGGTGCTCTAATGAAATGCTCATCAAAAGAAAAATAATACTTAGGTGAAAAAAAAATGATATGATGACATATTTGAATTAAATTGTAAACATTGCAAAAACTGAATGGCATGATTCTGCTTTTTACCTGATCAAATTCAGATAAAAAAAAATATTATTCCAGAGTTAAATATTCCGCTTACTGTAGTGGTATATGCAAAGAATTTAGAGATCCATAATAAATGTAAGCCAGCAAATAATTCATGCTAAATGCTAATTAAAGAATGTACGTGCGAGGAATTTTTCCCCCTGTACTCCATTTTTGCCAATACCCTGATTTGAACTTTGCTGAAATTCCCATTAGATATTCCTATGAATTATTTTTTAAATTTAAACTGGTAATACCAGCATATATTAACAATATTATAGCACATTCTAGTATTTTTGAACATACACTACTGTAGCGTATCATTTTAATATTCTTTTCATATTTACATTTTTACAATCTGCCAGACTTTTTCCAGACTAAAAATTACGAGTTTACAAATCTCAATACCAAACAACCTTTTACCCTATATGTATATATACCATGATGCATGGCTCAAAGATAGAGGAAATTGCTTCAATACTATCATATTATTGTTGGTCTATTGTAGTGTTATGTATCTATTCATTCATGATAGAATGCTGCTCTAAGGCTTTTATTATGCATTTTTATAGGTGATTCATTCACACTTAATAGCAGATGCTCTTGCCAATTTCAGTACAACATATAAACTGTACAGTATCATGTTATCTATAGTACATTAATGATTTACAAAATGAAATCTCACGGCTGAGGCTCATAAGGTGATATACTGTACACTATGTACTGAAGATATAATATGAAGCCATCTACTGTATGTGTTCAATATATTCAAAAATGTTCCTATAATCACAGACTCTATGGTTTGTGCTCTCATTTTAAACTTATAGATGCTCCAAAAGCCATTAAGTGCTATTATTCACAAGATTACAACAATATACATCAAAGTAAAACAGAATATATAAACCCACCCCAACATCCACCACCCCCAACCACCAAGTTGGATAACAGTACAGGAGTATACTTCAGTAAGTCTCAAAACTCCAATGAGTTAATTCAGAAGACAAAATATTATTAAAATTTATAAAAAACATAGATCATAATGTATGATCAGAGAACAACGTTCAAACAGGTACTCTGTAAATTAACACTTGCTATATACTGTAAATTACATCTAATAACAGGATTAAACAAATGTCATGACTCCTAAAGCATTTCATGAAAACTTAGTATTATTAGGAATAATAGCAACATGAATACTGGAATAAATCTCATTTTACAATAATATTCTAATAGTACTATAAATGTCATCATAAACAGATGGAGAGGAGTTCCAGTAACTCATATAGCTTGGCTCTTTTTAATACAAGTCTTCCACCAGTGACATTGCTTTGCAGTGGCAGATCCAGAGATGTCCAAAAGGGGGGGGAGGGGGAAAACAAGAATAATGCTACCCTAGGGCATTCCCCCGCAAAATTTTTGCATTCCAGACGCCCAAAAATAACCTCTGAGATGTTTAAGGTGATCAATTATTTCTTTTTCTTTCTTTCTTTTCTTCTTTTTTTTCCTTGTTTTTACCCTCTAAATCTGCCCCTGCTTTCTAGAAAGCCTTGTTTTCATTGGTTCTGCTGATACCAAGAGCTTTCTTCACTGTGAAATTGCAGAAAGCTGTTATTTTTCTTGGTTCTGCCATCGAGGTACTGTATAAAACCTTCAATATTTTAATTGTGGTGCTTATTGGTTCATCAGAATACAGAAAGCTTGTTTATTTGGAGAAGATAATGTGTTTCTGCAGATTTTCATTTCATTTTTTTATTTAATCTTTCTTAAGTACAATTTGTGTACATTAATCTAAATATAGGCCAGTAAGATATATTGGTCCTACAGTAGGCCTACTACACAAAAAGGGTTGCACAATTAATGATTCAACAACTCAATATATTGATCACTATTAAGCAAAGTCCTCTTCTATTATCTAAATCAGTAAAGACTTGCTCCATCCTTTGAATCCTTTTCAGATTAATCCAAACAATATGCACACTGTATAAGATGTGAATAAAGACCTTACTATCACGTATACTTAATTGCTTAAAAAGAAATGACCAGGTGGTGTTAAAAAAAAGTGTCAAAATGATTTTCTTTATTTAATATAAACAATAAATTAAATTATTAGATTATGGGTGATAAAATGTATACAAGTAGAAAGTTAATGAAATTAAATAAAATATATGCTGAATTTCATAAAAAGAAAAATATTGTGTTACAACTGTTAAAACATTGTACTGTACCCTTATTATCAGTTAATCAAAAATATTTGATTTTACTGTAATTATTTGCTGAAAATATGGTATTGTATGAAAAAGGTATTTTCTATGGTGCTGAGTCTGCAGTGCATTCACGTTTAGATCATTACAGTAGTGAACTATTGAAAAACAGGGTTGAACATACGTTTAAATGACTTAATAATGTACATTACAGGCTTACTGTACAATACACTACTTGATTGATATGAATGCAAATATACTTGGAACAAGATGAATACAGATATGTCAACACTATCAGAAAGAAATTAATCACACTATTGTACACTAAAATTCCACAAAGAATTTTATTCACACAAATATAAGTACAGTACACAGTTAACTTATCAATTTTACAAAAATCATTGAAATGGAAAACTGAGTTAAATCTTGTCAACTTTAATCATAAACTAATCACCAAATTGTGCAGACATTCATTTTCGATTTATAAAACGTGAATAAAAAAAAAACACTAATTGCATTATGATGAACATCTTGCAGACATTTTAAATAATTCATTGAAAAAAAAAGCATGCTATCAAAAAAGAGTAATAATTGGAGAAATAAAGAATATAATTCTAGAAAGAGTTAATTTAGCTTTGTAAGCACAGGTAGAGAGTGGCATTTAGATTCAGATTCCAACATTAATGTTGTTAATAACAGCCATTCGTACAGGTAGGAAAAGCAATATAAATAATGTACTGCACGTATTAAATGTATCTTCCTGCAAAAAAAATGTAATAAAAGCTTTGCATGTAGATACATTGTTCCCCTCAGGCACTGACGACAAGTAGACATTAGATGAGTATAATACCTTCATGCTTTATGTGAGTTTCAAAGTGGCTCATCCAGTCTTCAAGTACTGTACTATATGTTATGGTTAATAACAAATTCTCTCTACTGCCAACTCATTAAAATAATATACTTTAAAATACAATAACTTCAAAGTCTAACACTAAATTTCAACTGAACAGAAGTTTAATAGAACTTGACATTTAAAAAACAATTTTTTAATTTATGGATGATATAATTAACTAAAATTTATCTCAGGAATTGTGAAGTTACTTTATTTATTTTATTTTAATTATTTATTTTATTTCAACAATATTTTGTGAGGGTGGTCCATCCAGCCAGAGCTGATCAATTGGGACCCTCCGTACAATTAAACAATTAAAGACAAAAGATGAAAAAAAATTATCTTTAACATAAACAAATAAAATAAAAATGGGCAAAAAATCCGAAAATATTAAAAAAATTTATTGACTTAAGAAAAACATTAAAAATAATAATAAACAATATGGAAAAAACTATAATTGACACATTAAACAAAAATACAATTGAAATCACACAAATCACATTAGGAATCTGGCTTACATTGGTTCAATCAGGTACAGTACGTATTCACGAAATAGACAATAAATTATTCAAGAGAATTTAAAAGAGAAAATAAATAATTAAAACTAACATAAATAATAATAACTTAAAATAAACAAATTTATAAAAGATACAGTATTACTTGTGGCTGGCTGCAGAGAGAATACATTCACATGGTTTTAAACCTATTGTATACCATGCCAGCTCATTCAGAACTTTGCCCCGAACAACAAACATTTTCTATTATTTTTTATACAGTATGTTGTTTGTCATTTACACCAAGTGACTCTAATGTAAGCACTGATATTGAGATAGTGTACTGTATACACCAACTTCCTTGAACCTGAACATGATCATGTGCAAAAGCATTGCTAGCGTTGAAAATACTGAATGTGTGCTCAACTCACTAAAGACAAATTTGGCCTACAGTTACATATTTCATCAAGCCATGGGTGTCAAAAATACCTCCAAGATCAAGCCACAAATATAGAGACAAAAGTAATTGAGAGTTCATTTTTCAAGGCAACACTTTATTGAAAAAAGATTAATTAATAAGTTAAAAAAAATGTAATGTGGGTGGAACTATTAGTAATGATATGTACACAGTATGCCTCAGGGAACTGCATTAAACATTAAAATGATTTTTACACCATTGATACATCAGTTTGTATTCAAATTTAAAGAGTTTAGTGAATGAATTTTATTTATCTTTTTTTATTCACAATTCGGCAGCATACAGACCATTCTTTTTAAGTTTAAACATTACCAACAGCTTCAATGTTCACCATTCAGTCATCAATTCAGATACGACATGTCAACATTCATTTTGGATTTGTAGGTAATGAGCTGTTGCTTAAATAATCACACAACCATTTCACGTGTTCAAACTACTTTCAAAATTAAATATTTATACGTTTGCCATGTGACTGAATTATTAGCAACGACAGTTGGTAGATTTAAGATAGAGCAATTACACAAATCTAAAGACGATGCTGTATTAAGTTAAGTCACACTGAAAAAGACATTTTTAATGATATGTGTTTTAAATAGAATAATTGACTTACCGTCCATTCCAGCCATTGGCTTGACGCCCCCTTCCCAGAGCGCGACCCTGCCACAGGGGAACCATGCATACTGCTGTTATTCATCATTCAACAAAAGAATCAACTTCAACGCTAGATCAATGTCACAAACAAACTCAAACCGAACACATCATATCAAGGTATTGACATCTTCCAAGATACTGTAACGCACAATCAAACACTAAAATATTACCATCAGGATTATGTGTTTCTTTGCAAAAAGAACAATCTTATTTTTACGTCTTGCAGGTATTCTCTACCGCTTAATTGAATTCTCAAGACTCAATCCCTGAAGGATTTTTTTTTCTCGCTATGGATGATCAACTTCCTCTTCATTTGAAATGATTCCTTTAGATTAAATATCCACAGCACTAAACTCAACTCCGTCTTTATTTGCAAAATTAGGGTTGAACTTAAGCGTGTCAAGTCTACTGCAAGTGCACTGTTTGTCGGCTGCTAACGATATGAGATCTGATGAATGCTTTCAACCGTCTCTGTGTTAATAACTGTATAAATACTTGGAATTAAACACTAATCTATTGATGTAAATTATCTAATTAAAGTGTTTGTTCATCAATTAATTAAAAATTAATTGAGTTTAACTAATAACATTTTAAGATGGATGGGAAAGACGTCGGTATTAAAAAAATGTAATAAAGGGTGCAGCTGGGTACTTAAAAAAAAATTGGAATGTTGTTCCTGATTCAAGTTTAGTGTACATCAAGGTGTTTTAATTATCACTGGCAAAGATGTTGGTATCAGTTATTAAAAGTATACTCAATAAATAAATGTTGCGGAGTTCTACAGGTTGCAGCTGGGTACTTAATAAATAACAGAATGTTGTCTCTGTTTCAAGGTTAGTGTACATCAAGGTGTGATTATAAATACTGTTCATACAGTCTTGTTTGCTACATCATCATTACTTCACAGCATTTCCGCAGCTGAAAATCAGTCTGGTCTAAAGAAAATGACAAAAAAAAGATAATATGAAGGTGATACGAAGCTAATGAACGAGAGGATAATTCATTTAATAAAGATTTATGATAATTATGAGAAGAGGCAGTGGCTACTGTATGGTGTACTTTTTTTATATATTCATTGCTATAATAGGGTAAAAAAAATTATGTCTCTGTAAAAATAATCAAATAGAATTAGTATGTTAAGGACTACGTACCATGTACCAGTGCCTTGTTTAGATTATTTTACGGGCTGGAATTTGTCTGATTACTAATAAATTGAATTTTGAAACCCAAGAAAAATAATCCATAAATGTTTGTCACATCTGTTTTTACATTTTGTTATAGTGGTATATAATTTAGAAAAAAACCATTTTTCAATCAGGACAATTCAATTATTTCAGGTGCTACAGAAATTTTCAATTTGCAACTGAAAATTTGAGACACAAGCATAGTTAGTGAAATGGATTATTACCAAATGTTGAATTACAAGAATTTGAACTATTTTTCTATGGCAAGATTGAGTAGCCCTGAGATATCTCTCAGGGAGTTGATGTGGTATAAAATGTATCAACACTGTGGTTGGTGCATCAAAACATATACAATGCTAAAATATTCCTCACATGCCTAACAAAATAAAAAAACCATCCATTTTGCTTGCTTAGCCTATTAAAAACTGAACTCTGCCAAGGCATAGCATGGACAATTGAGAAACCTTACACTAACTACAACATAGAATGGCAATTTTCTTTAGGGGGGGGGGGGGGAACTCCTTCCTCCTAGGCCCAAATCCTCCTCCTAGGATGACTAATGTGTCCAAAGGCTTAGATTAGAAGACTGGGGTACACTTGGGCCTAGTTTAGTTAAGCCAGGGAGGTGCAGACCAAATAACCTATAGACCTGTGTGCTCTGCTAGTCTAGGTATGACTAGGCCAGGCCCTATGCATGCCTAGCCTAGCCTACTCCGTACGTTTGATGGGTCTGTATAAAAATACTGTAAGGTGATTTAGGCAAGGCCTATTCAATTCTATTCTTATACTATACGTAGGCCTAAGGGACCATTGAATCTTGTAAAATGTTATCGTAAATCACATATACAATGAGAAAATAAACTGCCTCTTAAGAGATCATCCGGCAAAATGGCGTCTTGTTGCCCAGGGAGCAAAGCTTTGCCTTCGATCATCCAAGCATGAAGCCTGTTGTTGGTCCGTTGTTTAGAGTGTGGTACACCGCTGTGAGTCGGCTTAGGAAGATTACTACAGCCTAACAGGGGAACAGTGCCCTGCTACTCTACGGACCCGGTTGGGTGTCTAGTAGAGGGATCCCGTCTAGAGCACCCCTCAGTACAACTCAAGTGTCATCACCCACGCAAATAACAGAAACATACGAAACTAAAGTAATCATACTCACCAAGACACGTGTTTTCCAAATGCCTAGGCCTAAATACAGAGCTCTAGCTTCCGATGAAAAATAAATTTCGAACCGAATCGTCGCTCCCTCTTCTTGTTATCAATGTTTACAGGTAATTGTTGTTGTTGAATGTCGCCCTCAGGAGTTGAAAATAGTGGCTCGTTCCCGGTTTCAGTCGCAAAACCACACGTCTATCAGTTTGATTTCAACCACTCCACCGATGAATGAACATACTTTTTCATATCATGCAAAAATTACAGTTTAACATCACATTTTACCTCAAAATACATTAAAGTTGTGTTATTTTCCTCAAAACTTTTTAATTCAACCATCTGAGATGCATGCGTTTCAAAAGTTTACTCACCTGTCGCTGCTCTTCATTCTTTTGTGTCTTCATTTCGGGAGTCTTAGCAACATCCCATGAATATCTTTCATCCTTTACTCTTCTGCCGTTACCTTTTCTGTTATAATTTCCATCAATATTTTCGAAGGTATAACTCTGGATATAATTTAAATTCACCGTGTCATCGATGCATTGTTGATGTATTTTTGTCCCGTTGACCATCACAGTGGGATTATAAATATAGGGAGAGGGGGAATGACAATTCTGTAAGGATGTCATTAATGGGAAGGTCGCGTTTAGTGTTTGTTCAGATGACGCGTTACTGATGAAACTATTATCACTGTGAACGCTAACGATGTCTGGTGAACGACTTTGGTATCGGTCCATTTTGTAACTTTTCTTTGAATATCATGAGTGCCGCCTCTGTGATTGGATTGAAAAATAAAATATATAATTTTAATAATTATTTACTTTTGTTAATACATCGATAGGACTGTTGGAGCAGAAACATCTGTACACATGGATGCATTTTTATTAATATCTTATCCGGATGCTTTACAGTACCGTTCGACAGTGGCGGTTCTAAACGTGCTAGGCCCATTTGAGTCCATCATATTTTCATAAAACAATGTTCTGTGAAATGCTGACGTTCGTGGAATGACCACATTGCTATTGTCAAAGAATATTCTATATTCTTTGCTATTATACAATCCGCATACTGACGTCATTTATGCATGACGTATTGCATTTGTTCCCATGGTTTACGCGAATAAACATATTTTTTATAGAGGGACACTTTTCAAAGCCAACTGTTTCAGATATCTGGCAGTAATCGTCAGTGAAATGACAAAGCGTCCTATACACAGGCGATAAAAAGAAAAACATGTAATACACACTATTCGGTGGCCCGACCATTAGGCTTAACAACCTGTACCGGTAGCGTACATAGCACAGAAAAATAGACAAAATAACGTGCAAATACATAAAACAACCTACCTTTTATTCAATTGGAAAGACGAAAATTGCAGTCCTAGAAGACTACAATTTTTCAAACTTAAGTTTGTAGAATGGATCCCATCAGGCACAATAATGTTAACATTTCCTCTTGTTTAGCTTAATCCATACAAAATCCAAACAAGTTTGTAACACCTCTTGGAATGGAGGGGAACCGTCACAGTGTACCTCTCACGGGAGGTTATTAGCCTATTAATAGTCTGGTCACGTACAGCCAATGAATAGGCCCCTATCGTCAGGTATGACTACTTATAATCCAAAATGTTTCCATGTGACAGAGAACACAATTTTACGACAGGTGCTTAAGGCGTTTTAATCTATCATAAATTTTTGTTTATGAAAACTTCCCCAAGCTACTACACTGAAAAATAAAATGACATTCCAATAATTCTTGCAGTCTAATTAGACAAGCTACCACCTTTGTTCTTGTTTTTTAGAGTATTTTTATAATAACTATTATTTGTAAAAATCATTTTACACTAAGCTCTGTTAATTGGCTGGAATGGAAATAAGAAGCTGTATGTTTCTCAATTAAAAATAATTCACGATGTCGTAATAAACAAAAGGCTTATGAAGATATGATAAGAGAAAGAAATGAATGTACAAATTAGCATCCCGGTAGAAAAGAAGTGAAAGTGACGAATCAAAGCTTCTGGTAGCTAAACAACCCACTTCCGAAAAACAATGTTAGGCTACGTATATTACTTTACGAAAAAGCCATTGAAGGCCAAGATGTTATTTATAACTCATAACATGTAATAGTCCTATTCTGTTTTCCTTTTTTTTTTATATATATATGCTCAATATGTTGTACTCGATTACTGTACCCTTCTCATAATGTTTTGTTGAAAGAGTAATATTTATCTTGTTTTGGAAGCTGATAGACTACTTGCGATAGACGTGTCTCTATATTAAATGATACATATAATTACGCAGTAAGTATAGGACTTATTACTAACAAGGTCAAATATTGTTAAAATACATGTAATATATCAACTGCGACTTATTTGTACAGGTGATAACTCACAGCAATTCCAATGTAGTTATTAACCCAGTTTTGCAGTCGGGTTATAGACACCGTTTTGTTAGACCAACATTTTATTAGGACGTTGTACTGTGCTGTAACAATAGATTCTTCTGTGGGATTTGCAATTGAGTTATATCCAATCAATCTACTTACTAAAAGTAATAAAAACAGTAAAATTATGCCGGATGATGATTAATGTTGAAATGAAAAGTCACTTAAGCAATCAACCATTAAATGACAAAAAGCGTTTTGTTTCATATTAAGTGAAGTAATAAATAGAAATCAAATTTATGATAATCCTTACATATGGGCCTAGGTCTACTTCAGAAGTAGAATCAATAACAGCCTTCTTCATTAATCAGTGTGTAGCAAAATTATCAAACGTAGGCCAAAACAGTGAGATTATATTTTATGAAGGTTACCGTACACTTTTTTTTTATAAGAATACATTTTATAAGAACACTGAGGCTGAAATTGCTTAAAAATAAGAACAAATTGAGGCTGAGGTAAAATTCATTAAATGAGGTTTCTATGGGGAAAAAAACAACAAATTAAGCTATGTCACATACAGTAAAGTATTATTACACTAATATTTAAAAGGTGATATCAACATTATATTTACTCCATTAATGACGTCATTAAATGACGTAATCTGAAGTTGCATCAGGGAACGACACAAAATACTCGTCTAAAATGGTGCTAAAATTTATAATCTCCCCCCCCCCCACTAAACCAGCCGTTCTCTTACAGTCCCCATATCTATCTGCCGACAAGGGGGGGGGGGAGCGTGAGGGTCACCGGTTGTACGGTACAGTGTAAAACAAGAACAAACTACATTTTGACCCTAAAATTGGCAAAAAAAGAAATGAGAACACTGAGGCAAAATTTTACTGGTTCTTATAAAAAAAAAAGTGTAGGCATTAGTTAGGCATATACTGTTTAATTGAATTATGCGTAGGCCCATAACCTCTAAACACAAAGTAGCACAAGATGAAAGGCCTACTATATGATGGTGTTCCTATAAGGTAGGCCTACCACTTGCAATACTTGATTCATACTTACCTGTGTGACATGTGATTGACACCAATGTCACGCTTTGAATTCCGTTACCCTGAAGATGATATATAAAAGTAATATATGCGTTGAACCGCTCGATTATTGTTTGGACATCAAAACCTATACGAACTATATCGATACATTTTATAAGAACCGACTGTCTGCGTACTGAAACCATACCATACTTAAACATCGGATGGGAAGCAATTACGGCGCTAAGAAGAAGGCTAAAGTGTTAATGAATAAGAAGATCAATAATGTTTATAAGCGGCTGAATAAGAACCCGGTCCATAAGAAGGCCATATCAATGCGTATCAATTGTTACATGCTCGAGTTTGTTGACTCAATCAAACGAAAAGGCCTGCAAATCGAGGTCAAAATTGAATGAAGTCGCGGTTGACATAGTAATATTGAAGTCTAAATATAAGTACGTTAGTTTTGATATTAATCAATACACTTTTTTAAATAAGAAAACTAAATTGTCCCAGGTTCAGTGTTCGTATTTTTTTGCCGATTTCAGGCTCAAAATGTCCTTATTTTGTTCTGACAGTAGCAACTTTTAATACAAGTTTCAAGATGAACTCTTATTCATGTGGTCAGCGCAATTGGTTGGTCGTTAACATCTTCAAAAGGCTCCACTTTTTCCAAATTTGAACCCCCCAAAAAAATCCTAGTTACGGGCCTCTTAAGTTTAGTAGTTTTGTGATAGTTCTTTTTATGTATCCTTAATGTTTTTCGTATATAATATTTTAAAATAGTTTTGTCTCATCTTGTTGCAATTTCGTATATAATATTTTAAAATATTTATATTTTTGTAAATACATTCACCTCAGCCTTTGGCTGCCGTTTGTATTTTGTTTACTTATACCTGAATAATAACTTATAAACGAAAGTTCACAGAATGGAACTAAAAATGAAACGTTGTATGTCTTTTTTGAAAAGAAAGATGAAAAGTTGATGCTGGTTCTGGTTGTGCAAATTTATAGGCCTGTGTCTTATACTTATAATCCTGTCTCTTATACACATCTAGATGTGTATAAGAGACAGATATACATGTGCGAGTCTATACAATAATTTCATTTGACGGTATTAAAATATGCCCAGACGCACATATTTCCTTAACCTATCTTTAATATTCTCGACATTTTACCCAGCTTGATTGTGTCGTATCTAAAAAACATCAAGATGTTTTCAAACTCGTGCATTGTGTGTCACGCAAACAGATCGTCTATAAGACCATAAATAGATAGGCAGACCTGTATAAATGATTTAGCTCTTATAACCAAATGACATATGTAAATATACATCTTGCTGTGATTTACCACGGAAGACATTTACCACAGAAGACATTCCCCTATTCTGTGTGTCTGATTGCAACATTTCAATCATATAACAATCCACTGACATAGGTATATACATTCATGGTCCTACCAACATAAATTAGTCCCTCGATGAAAAAACATACGACCCAATAATGTATTCAGTTTTGATTGGTCAGAATCAAATTCGAAAAATGTTGTTTTTCAGTTTTGGAGTACAGAGGCCTATAAAAATTCTCCTAACCTACTTCGTATTTAGAACTGAAGATCATGAACCTCCAAGTTTAGAATAAAACAACCCACCAAAAAAAAAATAAATAAATAAAAAAAATTCAATGTATTCAGTCAACGGGCCTACGGCTGTCGTTACAAATCCATTATACTCTTCCTGTAGATGATTATCTTTCAAGTCAGAGGTGTGATTTACTTTCTCTGGCACTGTCAATCATTATCAAGGCGTCGATAATGGTTTTCGACGAAGTACCATATCAAAAACTAAAACTACATATAAAGTAACAAATTTAGAGAATCCATTATGATCAAGCAATAGTAAATAAATATAGGCATAATAGTCTAATTGTAAAGTTTGGAGAATCATAACCGACGTGTAAGCCAAATTTATTCTTGATTCTTGATTATACTTTTACCTTTTTCATTTAACAAAAATACACTTCAAACGATTGATAATAAAACATGTATAATCCAACCTTGCCATCCTAAATTAAGCTCTGTCCCGATTATCACATTTTCTTTGACAAATAATTGTTGTATGCCCATATATAGTCATGATGTGCCTACATATGGTCATGATGTGATGTCATCATGACCATATTTAGGCATGTTACATAAAATTTGATAGTCTTTAGAATTTGTGGTGTTTTGTTCAAGTGAAGTTCTTGTGAAGCGAAAAATTCTTCAGTCATGCGAAAGAAGGTGAACAATGATGGTGTTGTTTGAATTTCACACCATCCGCGTGTACTAAAGACAGCGTCAACTGAACTGTTGAATCTTAAATGTTCCTTCTTTTAGAAGGTTCAAACGAGTTGTTAGAATGTAAGCATCTTATATTTTCATTTTAATTTTTGGTTAACGTTATTTTTTCTGAAAAAAACCCCCCAGAAAACAAAAAACGTTGTTATGTGTTTTTGTGCTCGCCAAACAATCGACACAAATGTGCTGAAATGTGTTAGCCATCATCTCATTAAGAGGCTATCATGAGGCTTAACTTTTTAACATTCCCAGTTAAGGACATTTAAACTACCTGTTTCAATATACGTCTGTACATCGAACTGTATGTCATGGAGTGGAGTTGAATAGCTTAGTGGTTAAGATGCTTGCCTAATCCCAGGCCCTGGGTTCAATTCCTGTGGCGACAGGAATTTTTCTTACAACCCACTCACATCACGTTATTTCATCTATTCAAGAGGGCCCCTGAATATCAGCCGACCTCCTAAGATACGCTAGAAGGTCACCTCTATAAATATGGTTAAAAAAAGTTCCCCAAAACAGTCTTCCACAACAGCAACAGCAAAATATTTACGGTACTTTACTTTATGAATGGCAGATGGCGTTTGAGGAACCGATCAATCTAAGTATTCATTGTCATCATTGTAGGCCTATATTTTTTAACCTTAAGTCAACCAACGAGTACACCGTGAGGAAAGTAGCCTGGCCTACGTGAATAATGTAACGAAATTGTATTTAAAGCCACAATACTGTCTGGAGTAGAACTCTCCAAAATGTAGGCTACAATTCGTTAGTGTTGGTAGATAGAAGGCATGGTTTTGTCAAACTATGGATTATATTCAAATGACGGTTAAATACCATGATAGGGTACTATTCGCTAATTTCATCACGAACTCTTAGAAACGCAAATTTTAAGAATTATGAAAAGCATTAAATTCCAATTTAATTAATATTTAAGCATTGTTTAATAGGTACGTAATTGGAATATTCAAATCCATGCGTTGATACCCACTGCTTCCAATTTTTTGATTAAATAAATACACCATGATAAAAACAAAATAGTTAAAACCAAATAAAACGAACATCTTTAAAATGTGAAATCATGATAGCAGTACGATCATCAGACGTCCTGCTTGAAAGTAGACCTAAGTAAAATAAACGTTTGTGGGCTTCATAAATAAACATGATCGTGATGATATTACCGTTAACCAACGAAGTAGACTATGCTCAGGCCTGCATCTGTAGAATTTAATACCGTACTTTTGGGCGTACTTTATTAACACAAATTTCACATTACAGGTACATAAAGTCCCACCCTCATCATGGTCAATATGTATCTTATCATCGTCGAGTTTTAAACAATATTAACAACACAGTGGGTAATGACTCAAACTGTTATAGGCCTATTCTCTCTGATCTTACCTTCAAATGAGGATAAACAACGAAGTAAACCGAAGTAGTTGAAGGTTCCCAGTATGATACCAAGATGAGTTAAACTACTGTTATATGCAAAGACGGTTATACAATATGTACCACCAGTATCACATCTCTATCCACTCACAGTGAATGAAGCTCAATTTCATCTTCGCGGATCGGGTCGAAACTGGAGCTTGTAGGGAACACTAAAGTGAACGCCGTTGGCAACCGCTAAGTAAAACAGACACAAGTTATTTGCATTGTTGATATCCATGCACTATACGTGTTAGTTCATATCGATTGTCAAAAAGGCTTATCTGAATTAGTGTTTCTATGCTTTTTAGAAATACAAGAATTAAAGTATATTTATTTAGTTGCATATGCAACAACATTCTCTAACAACTTCCACACAATATTGGTTCACGATAAATAATAATACAATACAAAAAGATGTGGAATTTGCAGTTCTTATAGTTGATTCTGTATCCAATGTTCAATGTCACATATCCATATCACACTAGATAATAATACGATCATAACTAGATCATACCTACATATGTATGATTCCATATTTTATTATTATATCCCACGATGCATGGTATGTATGAATACATTATGAAATTTATAATTATTATTGGGTAGCAGTCGCAGTATAAATTAACGACACATCCTTTTCTGATGGTCATCATAATATCGTTATTAATTACACAAGAGTGAAAATGCAATAACCATAAAAAAGAAGATAATATTGTATGATAATTGTATCGTAAATCTTGATTATATTGAAAAGGATATATCTGTTACATAACCAACTTGTACATTGATAACTAATCACTGCAAACTTTCTATTTGAAATCGTAATAAGCCACTCTATTTCTTAAACTGCTAATGACCATTATGCCATTAGTGAGCATTATTAACAATGAATGTTGCAATACTAAATTTAAACGTATAGAAATAAATATATGCATTTCACGGCCAGTGCAAAACCAAATAAAACATGTCCTTCAAATTCTATGCGACATTGCCATCCTCAGATACCTGATTTGCGATGCACAATCTTGAAAGCTTCTAAAAGCTTAATGTACTAAAACCCCAAGGGGTTAAGTGCATCTCGAATCTGGTAAAGTGTTTACTTGTTTACTTACCGTACTTATTTACTTATGTCTCAAGAAATACAGGCCAGGCACACCGTGGCCTGTAGTAAAATTTAATTCTTGGAAGACGGCGTAATTTCAATATTTTGTCCTGTAAGTGTCCTATGAGAACCGTTTCATAAGCTTCACTCTTTGTTGGGGGAAGGGGGGGGGGGGGGTCCTGCCGAAGGAAGATCATGATCTATGTGATAAGAAGTTTTGAATAGAAGAAAAATTGAGGGCGTTTTCCGCGCGAATCGCTTGAGTTTGATTAGTAAGTTGAAGGCCGGGGAAATCCCCACCAACACCACGAGTCAGATGAAGCTTTGAAACAAGTTCATGACGTTAGTAATTATTACAGAAAGGTTATTATTTGTATGTAAGTTGCTAAAGACTAGCAATGTCATTAGCACACAGTCGTAGATATAAAGCATGTCGTTTTAGGCCTAGGCTAGGCCTGTGTTTGATGATGATAGAATAGTGGGAGCACTTAGCGAAGTAGTATTCTCCCTCGATTGAGGCGGGCATCATATTCTGTCTGGCCTAGCCTCCTAGGCCTAGAGGAGAAGTTTAAAACAAGTGAATTTTCCCTTTCCTACCTTGTAGAGGCTTATTTGGATTTAAAGTTTTGAACCAAAAATGTTATACAAGTAATATATCAATATATTTTTTTATTATTTCATAAAGGAGTGTGTGCTACAACAATACAATACCAGCCCACCATACAAAAATGGCAGACAATCAAGCTACAAGGGATGGTGATGAGTATGTTAATTGTCAGCTAATTATTGAACAATTTCTTATACAGTAGTGTTTACACCGAATAAATCCAATTCCAACCAATAATGGTCACCATTATCAAATGTTTTGTTACCAGTTATCTTTGATTTGCCAATGGATAAATGATGATGTTATACCACACTCATATAAGGGCATGATAATGATGATATCACACCATAATGTGTATTCTGTAACAATTGTATTTGGCGATTTCCATTTAAAAAAAAAAATGTAACAGGTTGATACTTTCATGAAAAAAAAAAAAAAATCTGCATTTCATTCTTTTTTATATTACAGGGATGAAGACACAGAAAACACTTTGAAGCTGCTTGTAGGTAAGTACAGTACTTGAGAAAATGTCCAGCTGAGCATTGAACAATGGAGATTCTTATAACTTTAAGCTGCGAGTTGCAACACCTTAAATAATACTCCAGGGGCGGATTTTGGGGAGGTCAAAAAAAAAGGGGAAAAAAGAAAAAAAAAAGAAAGAAAAATGATAGCCAGAACGCCTCAAATATTATTTTCGGGCGTCTAGAACACAAACATTTCACAGGGGCATGCCTCCGGACCCCCTAGGAAAGTGTTGTCTTGATCGGCCCAACTTTCGGCCCCCCCCCCCTTTTTGGACATCTCTATTTCATTTATTTCACTTGTAATTTGCAACTTAACTTAACTACTACAAGTGCAGAGACCAAGGAGGCCGTAGGCCTGTAATTAAGGTCCCCGGACTAATCTAATGACCTAACTAATAACAATAAATTAAAAGGATTAAATAATCGAGAAAAAAAAAGAAAAGAAGCCAAGCCGGGAAGATTTCAACAGATTGAACATGAGATATGATTTTGTTAATCCTAGTTATCAATTATTATTATTGTCTATTATTATTATTATTATTAATATTATTATTATTATTATTATTATTATTATTATTATTATAGTTGTTAGTATTACTATTATTATTATTATTATTAGTATTATTAATATCATTGTTATTGTTAGTATTAGTATTGTTATTTATTATTATTATAATAATAATAATTATTATTATTATTATTATTATTATTATTATATTGCTATTATTATTATCATTACTGATATTACTATTACATATATGGATCTGCCCCTGTATTCCCTCTCCAGTATAGTGGAATTTACATAGATTACTGAATAAAATTGTATGAAAGACAGACACAGAATGCAAATAGTTGTGATATGTTGTTTCCACAGCAACTGATTGCCACATTGGTTACATGGACAAAGATGCAGAGAGGTGCAATGACTCCCTGGAAACGTTTGAGGAAATTCTACAGCATGCAAAGAATAATAAGGTATAGTGCATTGAAAGTAAATTTCATGTGTTTGAAGCAGGAAATAATACATAGAATTTATGTATTATTATGTAAGCTCTTATTGAATTATTTACTACCAATTAACAAATCAAGACAAAACATAAAAAACTTTAATAAAAATGTTAAATGTTCATTTAAAAGTACCACATAAGTTATCAAGGGAAAAACTGGTTTTTAATATGTTTAATGGGCTTAGGGAATGAAGTTGTTTCAGCTGTGGGAATATAATCCTGTTGTTAAACAGATTGGAAGGCTCAACCACAAAGCTAAATGTCCAATTCTGTTATATAGTTGCTTCTTTTTATTTTGAAAGGTGGACATGATATTACTTGGAGGAGATTTATTTCATGAAAATAAACCATCTCGCAAGTCATTGCATGGGCTTATGGCTCTGATTCGTCAGTACTGCATGGGAGATCAACCAATCCAGATAGAGTTTCTCAGTGACCAGTGCGTCAACTTCGCTGCTTCAAAGTATGTAAAATTGACGAGATGACATTTATATTCTATTTATATTTTATTGAACATATTCATTCATTCATTTCAATGATTTATTTCAAAATCAAATCAGCATACAGAATAAAGTACATTAATTAGAGTAACATTGTAATATAAACATATTATTTAAATAAGCAGTTTTAAAATAAATTTAATGCATTAAATATTTATACAGGATAACATATCAGGAGGGTGCAACAATCTGTTTTACAACCAAAATTACAGTATATAAAATCAATTTTAAATACTGTTGACAGTCAACATGGGAAGGGTATGGGACATCCCCTGCCTCAATCCTTTCTCTGTCTAATTTCAGATGTTTCCTTGTCCCATTTCTTAGTATTCATTCACACTCTAATTCCAGGAATCATTCCTCCCAATTATTCATTCACCTCATTCACCTTATCTAATCATTTTGAATCACAGTCTAGAGCAATGTCCTCACTTTATGTGACAAATAAATGTGATATGCCCATATTTGGGTATAATGTGACATCATCATGCCCATATATGGGCACATCACACAAATTTGTCACATGAAATTTGATAGTGTGGCTAGAGCTTTAGCATTTACATTTTCATGGTAATCTTTTGCTAGGTTTCCACATGTGAATTATGAAGACCAGAACTTGAACATATCTATACCTATCTTTTCCATACATGGTAACCATGATGACCCAGCTGGTGTAAGTATACCCCATCCTCAATTCTTGTAGCAGTACTATTTGTAATGTTTCTGCTGTTGCTGTTGCTAACTAAGGCATTAGGGAAGTGCACTATTTTGATATATACATATATCAGCATATATCAATTTTAAATAGTTTTGCATTATGTGGCCGTTTGCTGTCTTATGGGTTTTTCCCATTTGCTTTTTAAAATTTAATATTGTTTTGTTTATTTTTTTTATGTGAATAAATATACCAGAACAGTTGTTGGTTATTTGTTAATGTTTTTATGAATTATGAATAAGGAAATTATTATTTTACTTTCATAGGTCTAGTATTTTGTTAACACCATTCTGTTTTTTATTAGTTAGGTAATTTGTGTGTATTAGATATTCTAAGTGTAGCTGGTCTGGTCAACTACTTTGGCAAAGCACCATCACTGGAATCTGTTGAAATTTCACCAATACTTTTACAGAAAGGAAGAACAAAGCTTGCTTTGTATGGCCTAGGTAAACCTATTTCAAAGTTTCATACATTTTTATATAATTTATAAGAGCAGCAAAGCTCAGTCGGCTAAACTGGTTGAAGCCGTTGGTCCTGTGTTCAATATGGCCCATGTGCACGTTACAGAATGCAGTACACTCTTCAGAAAAGAGTAGGGGATTGTCTCCCTGTGTACTGGCCAATTCACCACCACATTCCTATTTATTTTGTTTTGTATTGCACCTACAGGCAGCATTCGTGATGAGAGGTTACATCGTATGTTTCGCGACAAGAAGGTGTCCATGCTCCGTCCGCGAGAGGACAAAGATTTATGGTTCAACGTACTTGTCTTCCATCAGAACAGGTTCAGTATTTTTAACTTTCTGGCAATTATTATATTAACAAGATTACAGGGATCAGAGATGGCACGTTGCAGGAAAATTGAGGATGGTTTTGTGATGATGATGTGAAAAACATAGCATGAACTCTTGAATGGTAGCATTCATCAGTCAAATTGTGTGATGCAAACCATTTTGGAAAGTTACAACATTTATGACAATGATTTGACCATGGTACTGTGATAAGACAATATTTAGGCCTAGTGTAAAGATATTTTCCCATATGTTTTATAAATTTATGGTTTTATATACAGGTACTTCAATTCATAAATAATTGTGGAATTATTTCATCATCAGGTCAAAACATGGGGAGACAAACTATATACCCGAGCAGTTTCTTGACAACTTCCTTGACCTGGTCATCTGGGGTCATGAACATGAGTGCAAGATTGATCCATGCTGGAATCCAGAACGCAAGTTCTTCGTCAGTCAACCGGGAAGCTCAATAGCGACATCTCTAAGTGAAGGAGAATCCAAAGAGAAGTAAAGATGCCATTTAATTATGACACATGCATTTATAATTTAAAAAAAATGTATTTAATTCATTTATGTATGGGACTTCTACTTTGTGCTCTACAAGATTTCATTGCTATTAAAAGTATTTCTTTACATTTTCAGACATGTTTGCCTACTTGAGATTCGAGATAAAGCCATGAAGTGTACAAAAATTAAACTTGAAACTGTCCGTCAATTTTACCTGGAAGAAATATGCCTTAGCCAGACAAGTCTTGATCCTGCAGATAATGCAGACAAATTAAAAGCCTATTGCGAAGAAAGGGTTCGTATACAGTCCTTACATCTTATTCAAGATTATACCATCATAGACAGTACCGTATCAAAGAGGCTTGTTCAGGGCCTTACTGAAGGAAAATCGTTGCCCACTTTGGCATATTTGAAATTTTAAAGGAGTATTTGATGAGTGAAAGATCATAGCTGTTACGCCACTGATTGTGGATAATACGGGTAGCTGTATGTTTAACTCTTCAGACCTCCTTAGTGGTGGTAGAGAGTGGTTAAGAAGTCCAGTGGTGCCATAGATTACTAGGACCCTGGAAATAACAGTCATCCCACAATTGTTGATGGATTGATGACAGAGTTGGTGGGCATATTTTTTCCTTCTGGTGTAAATATTTGGTTTTTCTTTTTTAGGTTGAAGCACTAATAGACAGAGCAGCTGATGAGCACACTGGCCACCCTAAACAACCCAAGAAACCATTAATTCGACTTAAGGTACTGTACAGTTAAATATTGTCTTAAATAATCTTTGCTGTCTTATGATTTTTATTACTTCAAGATCCACTTAAAATTTGATTGGATTTATTCGGTGTAAACACCAAGGATAGCCCACGAAAGTCTAGAAGAAGACTTATTTCCAGTGGGGTCCTTCTGGTGGTGATTTGACAGTACACCGGGAGACAATCCCCTACTCTTTTCCGAAGAGTACTGGGTTCTTTAACCTGCACATGGGCCATAAATGCACACGGGACCAACAGCTTAAAAGTCTCATCTGAAAGATGGTGCGCTATTGTAACTTGTATTTCAGCCCTCTAACTGAAACACAAGGAGAGGCAGCGGTGAGAATTGATCCGGGGACCTAGAGATCTCTACGGTTGAGCGCACACACAGTGGCTACCACCTCTCAAAAAAATAAAAATAGTATGACAGTTACAGTGTATATCCGGCTTGTTCCTGCTTCTTGGGCCAAGACCCCAGTTCAAACCTGGCCAACATCAGGTTTTAAATGGAGTCGCTTGGCTCCTCGAATAACCCTCATATTGAGAGTTAGGCGAGTTGAGGACAATGATTGTATCCGCATGTGTCCATTTATATGTTGTAGTTAAGTCAAGTGGCGCTGCACTGCGGCTGACAAAGGTCCCAGGGGCCCAGCCTGAATTTCAGATTTTCATTTAGAATGAAGACCAATAAAGAATGATCAATATAATTATTGTTGTTATTAATATTGAAACACATGGATACTATAGATAAACTCAACCAAATTATCACCCAAAAAAAAAATATATATATATAATTAGACATGTTTATTCGCTGTTAGATTGATTACAGTGGTGGTTATGAAGTTATTAACATTACGAGATTTGGGCAGAAATATGTTGAGCGAGTTGCCAACCCAAAGGACATACTGGCATTCCACAGAAGGAAAATGCAACTTAACACGATGGGTAAGCAGCAAGTTTACTTTTACACTCCATCTTCTCAGCTACAATGATGTGTATGGTATTTGCATGCCTAAAATCACAATGCTTATACAGTATTGTAAATCTTAAAGCCCTGTCCAGACTACCTAATTTTCTTCGACAAAACCCTGATGTATACCCGTATATAGTCATGATGTGCCTAATGGTCATGATGTGCCCATATATAGTCATGATGTGCCTATATATGGTCATGATGTGCCCATATATAGTCATGATGTGCCTATATATGGTCATGATGTGCCCATATATAGTCATGATGTGCCTATATATGGTCATAATGTGATGTCATCATAACCATATTTAAGCATGACACACATTTTTGTCAAACAAAATTTGATAGTCGGGACAGATCTTTATAAACAACATGTAAAATAAGAATGTTCTGTCCACACTGTTTAGTTTGATTTACCATTGATTTCTTTTTAGGTAAAGTTACTAAAGCAGAATTAGATAAGTTTCTAAAGCCAGAGGGTTTGGACACATCAAGAGTCGAAGATCTTGTTAAAAAATACTTTCAAGATGCAGATGAGGTAATTGTACTTTCCATTAAAAATATTAGTTACTATAAAATTTACCTGTGCTAATTCTTATTACTAGGCTAAATTGAATGGTCACCCATTATGAACATTAAAAAATATAATAAATTACACTTTCTAAATTGTTTTCTTTAATTTCCACATAGAAAAATCAACTGTCTATATTGTCTGAGAAAGGATTAGGCAAAGCTGTCCAGGAATTTGTGGACAAAGAGGAGAAAGAAGCAATACCGGAGCTGGTGGGCTATCAATTAGAGAAGACTCAAGGATACCTCCGTAAACGTCAAACTAATGAAGAGTCCATAGAAGATGAGGTAGCAAATGCATTTTTTTTATTGCAGCTCCTTAAAGCTTCATTGAAGAAAATCTTGAATCTTTCTATTTGCAACCAATTGGTAGTAGACTAACCAATCCGATATGTTTAAACAATTCCTCTTGTATTAATAATTTGTTGGTTTCTTTAAAGATACAACATTTTAAGACAGAAAGACAAAAGATGTCCAAAGAAGAAGTTTTAGAAGAAGTTAGTCAGGTAAGCGGAACCCATTGTAATTGTTATCATTTTTTAAAAATAGTTGTGTTGATCTGTTGGTGCAGTGTGGCTGTGTGTATCGTTGTACTAGTAATGATGATTGATTTATCAGTTTCAGCAATTTTTAGCTCTAATGAAGAGCTCTAGAAACACTTGGCTCATTGAGTAATAGATCTTTTTTAGCTCTACTGCCCTCATTAGGCTGATTGATTAATAGTTGATCTCTTTCAACTCTACTGCCTTCATTGGAGCTTCCAAGATTACGAGAACTTGTTATATATACTGTAAAAGTTGATGTTATTGCTAAATTGAAATTATTGATCTGTCATTTAAAAAAAACTCTTAGTTTGTACTTTTATTTCGCAGGTCATGAAGAAGGTGCAAAATGATAGAGCAGCCAGAGGTGAAGAGTTACAAGGATTCAGTGATGAAAACTCGGGTTCAGAAAGTGAAAAAGTCAGCAAACGAGGAAGAGGCAGGGGTAGGGGTGCAAGGGGTGGTCGAGCATCACGGGGAGGACGAGGTGCACGTGCGTCAACATCAACTCGTGGGTCGTCTAGGGGTCGTGGACAAAAAGGTGTTGTGTCATCTGGCGGATCAGTCCTTGATGGTATGTCAATAATTCTCTGAATTAGATTTTTTCATAATCATTACACATAAATATAGAAGTTAACATTGCCATATTTGGTATTCTTTGCCTACAGCATTTAATGCCTCAAAAACCAAGGTTCGAGCCGGAACTATTCAATTTGAGGTACAGTATGCCAATATGGCAGTTTATTGTTTGAAAATTTGGTAAAGAAAAAAGACATCACATCTGTTATATTATCATACACAGAACCCATTACAGGCCCGTAGCCAGACTTCCAAGGGTGGGGGTGGGTCTTTTTTTAGCCAAAGGTGACCTTTTTATACGGGTGCCTCCGCGACCCAATGTGTACCGTAGGCACATGCTCTGTGGCATGTGCTGCTGTCTATGGCATGTGCTGCTGGGGGGGGGGGGGGTTTGGGGGCATCCTCACCCAGAAAATTTTTTAATCTAGAGGCTGTGAATGATGGTGTTTTTAGCATATAAAAGTTAAGGCTGACACCCTTGCATATGCTGAATATAATTATCATGATTCAAAGGTGTATACACAGGACGAGGTGATATTTTGACCATGATTCGCTGTAGAATCAAGATAGGCAAGAACATTCGACTGAACTAAAAGTTAATATCGGTGTCACTGCATGAGTCAACAAGGGTATGAGATGAATAAAAGGCATAATTAGGTGATGTCTTTGGCATTAAATCTACTCATTGAGTATGCTCGTCAGCTCATTTGGCCTGAGATAGATCCACAGGCCACAGGCTATAGGTCTACCAGCTCTGTGAGAAAAATATTTGACCTGGAAAAGGGTGACCCCAGCCGAGGGGGGGGGGGGTCGTCCGACCCCCCCTCTGGCTACGGGCCTGCATTGAATCAGCAATGTAGTTAGGGCTATTCTCAATATGTATAGATCAGTCAGCTATACTGGTGGTAGTATTATGTATGCCTTGAAACATGGGGTCTCTGGGTCTGCCCATCATTTCATTTGTGCCTCAGCTGAAGGGCTGATAGTGCTAACCAATCACAAAAGATATACAGTATAACGGGCATACACAATTGTGCTATAGATGATTTATTAGCTTCATTGAGGCTGGTTCACCCTCCCCCACTACTACCCCTCCCCACTACTACTGTACATTAAACTCAACATACATGCACATCCAGTATACAGTATATGTTTTCCAAAAACTGAAAGGTCCACTGATAATCTCAGATAAGAAAGTATAATACTGTACATACATAGTGCAAGTATTGAAATGCACGCCATGGTGCACAATGATATAATTAATATTGAAATATTGAATCCCAACTTGATGGCGTGTATTTCAATGCTTGGAGTATGTATTGTACTTTCTTACCAGTATATATAGTATATATCGCATTTTATCCCAATAAAATGGTACTGTACTTTTATCTTTATAGTGTTTTTTATTCATACAATTATTAACTTTGTATTCCAATCTTTCTAGGACTCTGGTTCTGAAGAGGAAACAAGGTTATCAGCAAGGAAAGGAAGGTGAATACACTATTGGTCTTTTTAAATGAAAGAATATCATACAATTATGCACTAGAGGTATATGTTCAAATTTTCTTGTGATTCTGTCTTAATTACAGAGCTAATAATAGAGAGGTGCCTATATTAATCAGTGATTCAGAGGTAAGTAATGCAGTTTCATAGACCATATATAGTACAGCCTGCCCTCACTCAGTACTATATATGATTTCTTTAGTTTACATAATGCATGGTAAGACTGTCATCTTTCTAGAGTATTAGAATGTAGTGAGAATGTAAACATCCTCAGTTGTCCAACCATTGATTGGTGATAGCATGCTCTGCCACATCAATCCCAGAACCAACTTCAACACTATCAGCAATAGATCTTTCACATTTGCAGCTACCACTCTCTGGGAGCTCTGCACCATTACATCTTAAGTAATCTTCTACAATATCGACTTTCAAAGCTAACATCAAAACATTATTTTTTAAGGAAAAAGCGCATTTGATTTTAACATTGTTTTATAATTTGAAGACATTGCCTACTGACCATTACAGGTATAGGGTGAGATGTTCTGGATATGTTGAAAGAATGGACGAAGGTATAAGGGAGAATGTTGTTCATGGGCAGCATAGAAGGGGTAAAAATGTACACCTCACTTTAGCACAGGATAGTGTTGAATAGAAGTATGCCATCAAATAACTGTGCATAATCCATGCATGCAAGCATAAATATATGATAATGATGATGTAAAACATTAATTTTCTTACTGTAGTAAAATTTGTTTACTATATGCAGCCTTGTTATAAATTCATTTTCTTGCTTATTGTTTCAGGATGACGATGATCACTTTTCAATGCAACGTACAACAAAGAAACGCAAGCGATGAAAGCAATTCTAAAAATGCATGTACATACTGCCCTCCTACTATGATAAGCTGTTCTACAGTACGATGAGATTGCAACATTTAACATATAATTGATGATTAATGAACCCTTGATGTGAATATGCCAAATGTAATGCTTGTGTTGCCCTCGAGCTATGGGAAGATATTCATGAAACTATATGATATACTGCACAATTCTGCAACTCGTGTTCATATATTCATGACCAATAAATCATCCCTTGAAGTATACATGAAGTTTTTAGATCAAGTCATGACTATGCTGCCCTCAATCTAGCTTACTATGCCAATCTGTGCATGATGGCATGTATAGCATTGGACTTGCTCCAAGTTTAATTTTTTCCCATATTACAGCGCCACCAGCAAGCAGTGACCAGAAATAACAAGGCTTAGCTAGTTGGTGGCATTGTTTGGGCTGTTTGGGCTGAAGTACAAGAAATAACAGCGTGGAGCCTAGGCTAGTACAATGTAAATAATAGTAGGCAACTACTATTCTAGGAAAGATGAAAATTAGTATTTCTGTATAGGAACAAGCTCTGTACTAACTGTGACTTTTGTAATGGAGAATGGATTACAGTACTAGCAAGAGGTTAGTTCCTAGATTTGGAAATTGTGCCGATTTCTGGGAGACTTGTGGAGAAAATGCTTTATCATATTTTATAGAGTACTACAGTGTTACGTCATGATACCACTTGATATTACTCCGTTGCTATTGGTGACACAATGCGTTCAACCGGATGCTATTTTCTTCACTGACAAACCATTGATCCCAATAATTATTAAGATGTTGTATATTTGTAAAATATAATGCGAGCTTTTTTGTTTTTAGTACATCTGTATGAGGTTGAAAAATTCTACTAATTATTACAATGCTTACAACATGGTAGTGTTTATATACGGTATATAAATAAACATTCTAGAAAATCGATGAGATTGGTTAGTTGATTGAAATGTTTTTATTATTTTCAAAATAATAATTTTAACAACAATCACACATTGATACACAAATTATAAAAGGTGTTTAAACCTGAAATTCCTCATTTTTACATTTCCAAAATTAATCTTTATAGTGTGGCTCTTGAGATGCACTCATTGCTCCCCAAAGGAGACATAGGGTTGTACACTACACTACACTAAACATATAATTTACTAGTCTCTAACATCTATATACTGTAATAACTTCAGAAGTTTGTAAATTTTACACTTTGCAATCCTAGGTTGAAGACAACTAGACCTATCCACTGATCTCTCTTATAATAGCTGGATTGCTCATCGGCCAATCATTGTAGAGAAAAAAGTGAAGCCACCGACACCATATACAAGAGTCAAAGTGACGTACCAGTAGACAAGTTTCTTTTAGCATTTGTTTAAATTATGATTGAAAATATCACGTCTTGCAATACTTTTTAATAATAAATTTAAACAAAGAAATTGTTCATATCCTCTAACCACCCAATGCGCCTTTTACTGCGGTTTTCAAAAGCGCTAGCGAACATTGCGTTGTTGATGGTTCTATTGTTTTGCTTTGTGATGACGTTTTTGTGATGTTTCAGGCTCCCCTACATGGAGCCGTTGGCTTCACTAAAACAGGCCAATGAACAATCCAGCTATTATAGTAAAGATCAGTAGACCTATCTAGTTAGGCTACTTCCAGGTGGTCCTCATGTATAAGTTTACTACATCTTGTTTAATTTATGTAATGTTTTTTCTTGGGAAATCTTTGGTCGATATCACACACAGTTTTATGCCCTTTCTAATCCAATATTTTTGAAATAAAATAAAAGTACAAAAAGGAAAAATCTTTAAGGGTTGTTTTACATTTTATATAGCACTTAACACTGAAACCAGGTACTGGTGAATGAACAGCTTGGGATAAACCTCCCCACCCCCCCCCCCCCCCCCAGCTTTAGGTTGAAAGCCTGAGCTACAACTGTAACTACTATTTAAACTAGTATTATTACATTACCTGGAACATCATAATAGATGTTGTATAACCTAGTAAGTAAGTAGTTTCAATAATAATGAACTGCCTCAATTTATCACTTAAACTCAGTGGCGGACCGTCAAGTCAAGCAAGGTATGCAGTGCATACCCTGGCTAAAACAAATTTTTTAAAAAATATAGTAGTACAGTTTCTCTGTTTTATTTAGCATTCTTAGTCAAAATCTTCTATATAAACCTTTATTTTTTTTAGTGGATTGCTACACTTCATTGCAATAGCAGTTTTTCAATGTTTGGCCTACTTTAGTATCTAGGATAAATCACAGCCGGGCCTATCACGTTGTACTCTCAGCTGCTTAGAATTTCCGCATGGCTGGTTTTCAACATATCAGCCAATCACGTCTTCAGTGAGTCAATAGGAGTCAGAGCATACCCTGCAACGCTTAAATTTGCTATTGCGACAACCGTGTGATGGCGTCAGAATAGGCAATTTAACACTGGAATGGATGAAGTGCTTCAACGAGTATGTGCGCATGCTCTTCTCGCAAATCAGGACCTCCACTGCCGATCGGTTATTCTATCTACAGGCCTAATCTCAATGATTAAAGTTTAAATAAATCTGCATACATATGACCGTTATAGAAGAAATTTTGAATTATGATTACTGTATTTGAATTGAAATTTGTTAAAATACAGGAATTGGAATTCTTTTGAAGAAAAGATACAATCATGCCGGTATTAAAAATAACATACCGGTACATTTGTATTTTGACTGAAGAATGCAATCTGACTGTACAGTAGTAGGCTTACAAACATTTCCTACTAGCAGGCCCTAGCATCAGTGGCGTAGGGGTCTTGAAATGGAAGGGAGCTGATGGGATGTGAAGGTGGGGGATTGGTGATTAGGCGAGGGGGATAACTCTCAAAATAAGGTGATTTGAGGGGATTTTTAACTACTTGAGCATGTTTTGTGGGCGGGGTGCGACTGAGAGATGGGCGAGTATTTTTTTTTTCGTTGGGGGGGGGGGCATGCGCGTCCCTCGCACATCCTAGATATGCCAATACCTAGCATACCCTGCAATTTACC